ATAAATACAGATTTCGCTTGATGTGTATCTAAAAACCTTTAAACTCAGGTACTTCTTTACAGCATTTGCCGTAGACGTGACTCATTGGATGTTAGTTCTTGTGGAGATGGTCCTGTGGGCCATATTTCTGATCTCCAGGAAATATCGAAGGACGGTGTAGAGCAAAAGCAACGTGCGCAATAGAAGGCTGAGGCATTGGAATGCCTAAGACAGATTAAAAACCTATCTACCATAGGCTACCTATTTAAAAATCACTTTAGTTAGATGTTCAGCTCACAAATCTCTGTGCATTTTACCTTTCTTCAAGGCAACTTCAAAGGGAAAATGGAGAACTATTACCAGTTTTTTTTTAAATTAAACATAAAACAAATGATACAGTTTTGGCCGCAAATGAAAGAACTCACTTTCTTCTTTATACTGGAGAGTCTCTCATCATATTCGATTACTTTTAGGCCCTATTCTAAGACTGTTAATACAAGAAGAAGAATTCTGGTCGAGTATATACTAAAAATTAGTGAAAATTGTCAATCTTCTCTGTTTTCTTTCTTAATTATGTATGTATAAGCAGAAATTAGGTTATGCAAAGAAGCATCTTGCCACATGCAGCACATTTAATAAGATTGTTATTTATCATCATTTGCGCGATAAAACTTATATATATGTATGTTTGGTTACCGTCCAAAATCGTAGATGCGGTAAAATAAAATATAGTCGAAACGTTTTCCCTGCGTTTAATCACAAAAAACTCAAATGAATAATATTTAAACACTGAACTTTTAGCATCACCTGATTTTCATTAAATAAAGACTAGATTTTCAGCTGCTGGACGGCATAGGTTTTAAACTTTTCTTGCTTATAGTGGGGTCCTCCCAGAGTACAAAACATGAAAGTAAAAAGTTTTGTTATGCCCTACTAAATAACATAGGAAAGTTGTTCGATATCGAGCTAAGTAGCTTTTGCCAAAATTCGGCCTCTTATCTTTAAAAATTCTTTAAAAACGGGCTGCTTTATTTAATAAAAGGCTTTCTCGGGATCAAATCCACTAAGTTGCATCAAAATAACGTGACCATGCGAAACTACCCAATCCGATTTCGATAATTAATTTGCATGAATTACGCCCAACCTCCCGTATATTCTCACTTCCAAATTCAAGGTCAAATACAACGGCATGGAGGTGGATGTGGACCAGGGCACAAGTGCGCATCAGGCCGAGTTCTCCAGCTACACCTACATCGGCAGCATCGATCAACCGTCTCGCCTGCCCTGGGTCGTATGGTCGAGAGAAAACTTTGCAGGCTGCATCAACTCCATCCGCATAAACGACGACAAATTTCTGGATCCCGCCTCGTAAGACTGGCTGCCCCTTTTATTGACACCCCCCTATTGCTCACCGGAGGAACAGCTTTTTTTGTTTTTTGTCGGCTCTCAAAGTGTCGACTGTCACTATCGATCAGCAGTTTTAATTTTTGGCTGAGCTTGTCAGCCTGATCGATTTTTTTCCTGTCATTTGCTGCCTCGGCCCTCGTTTGTCTAGTTTGAAGAGGGTTGAGTTACGCATTTCGTAACCACTGTGAGGGGTGCTGGGTGCCCTGCTTCTTCCCCCAATGGGTTCGTCACATGGCCGTACTCGCTCGCATTTCCCAGTTTCCCTTTGACCTTGTCCTGGTATTTATTTTCATAAAAGAGCAGGTCTTTCTGGGCCACGAGAAGGTTTAGACACCTGATGTTACAGTTGGGATCTGTAAACCGTGTCTCAAGTATCAATCGGTTAGCCAAAGACAGTCGCCCCTTCAGTTCAGTAAAGTCTTATTAAGGGACAGATAGGCAAATGACATTGAGCTGCCTCTTGTTAATTCAGTGCCTAAGGAATGCATAAATATGGGAGAAACTTCATAAAAGAGATTTTTTACATAATTACAGGCGAAAAGCGACTAGCCGCCGGTTTGTAAAAAAGTAAAAATATACAACTACTTACTTATTAGGAGTAGCACATTAGCATGCAGACTTATTACTTAAGCAAACAGGATCTCGGTTTATCAACGATGCCAAATGACACGAGCCAAGGAGGCGGGGCAAAAGCACAAAGAGCAGACACCGAAAGAACGTCTCGTTTGACATTTTTTGGAAACTATGAAAGTCTGAATGTGATTTGAGAACTTTGAAGGAGAAAAGGCTGTCGCTCGTGTGTTGTTAAGACTGTTTGAGGCAAGATATGGGGTGAG